GCTGTTTGTGAACCAGGTGAGCCAATCTTTCCAGGCTCCGGAGTACAACTGTCTGAAGGTCCATGTAACGGTGATCTAGGCCTGCAGTGGAGCCCTGGTGTAGGTGTTCGGCCCTCTGTCCAGATATTCTGTGCAGCACTTGGATGGATATAAGAATAACATGGGTCTTGTTGCTGCCTTAGTTCTGTGCCCTCATGGAAGACAGGTATAGGAATATATCCTGGGCGAAGAATGGGATGCTTCATCTCCCTGAAAACGGTCTTCTGTGACTCCTGGGGGCTTGGTTCTGGTGGTATGTTGGGTCCATTTGCTGACACTTCTTTGACCTACAAAACAGTTAATAGTATATAGATATGATTTAATGCTATATCATCTCTTATTTTATCTTTACAATTAAAAATCAATAATCTTCTCAATGATAGATTTGACAAAAACCAGCAATTAAATGAAACAAAATGAAATAGAGCCTTTAAGGGCACAGATGGACCAATGTATGAAGGCTATACTCCTTCAAGTGAGCGTCCAGGGTTTGAGTCCAATCTGCTGCTCCTTTCCTGGATGTCATTCCCTGATTTTCTACCCTTACTCTGTCCTATCAAATAAAGGATAAAAGCTTAAAACTTTAACTTTAAAGGAATAAATAAAACCAAGAATTTAAAAACATCTATTTATATACAGTATAAGTGAGTTTGGTGTTCAATTTAACTTCTTTCTTTTTTTAAATCCCTCATGGGAAATTCTGGTTTTCTGGTTTACACTATGAGAGACATGCTACTCAAACACAGAGGCCTGTAATACACATGTGCAGAACAGGACTTATCAACATGCATTAATGGAGAGATGTCAGTGCAGGGCTGCTACACAGGGAGCACGCAAGGGCTGTTGGGGTTCAGTGCCTTGCTCAAGAGCACATTGGCAGTACTCGGGAAGTGACGCGTCGTCACTCCAGCAATCAGACCAACCTCCATAATTTGGTCCGTATGGAGACACACGGGTTCCCAACCCGCCACTGCTGATATACCTATTTTGAGCAATAAAAGATAACTATTCAAAGAAACAAAATGCCCAAATGGCTTGTGTCATTTCATATTAGATTAAAAGAACAATTGGCACTATCATCTAGTAAATTGTACTGTTACTTTTCCTCTAATAAGATTGTATTTCTAATGAGCCGCAACCACACTCTGCACTACAATTTCACTTTTATAAATCAAACATTATTATTTCAATAAGCATATCTGTTTCACAAAAACACTTAGGACTGAAATGATTGCAAAGGGCTATTGGTTAAAATGTCCCCTTTTGTACATTTGAATGCCCAAAAGCATCACTTTCTGCTCTATCTAGCTGAATCTCCTGACTTACTAACACCTTCTTAACAAATATATAATCACAGTTCATGTTTTCATAAAGATCAAGGTATAGACCAAGAACATTTTAACATACACTTATAACTGATTCGTTTTCTTTTTATGCAAGCCTTCGAGACTCTGGTCCATTTATAGAAGAACATAACCCAGAATAGCCTCCAGTTGTAGGCATGAAATGTTAATTATCACACTACAAATAAGTCTTCATTGGGAAAGTACGATACGTAGAATACAATATTACAGTAAATAATCATAGCATAATAAATGATACTGTAAGATCAATTACAAAATTTTTAGTAGGTCTACAGCTAGAAAAAAATGTTATTTTGTAATTTTTCTCAAAGTGTTCAGATAGACATGTGCAAATGGTGAAGTGCAGCCAACAGGTCAATGATACATAAACTATTGAAGCTCTAGCCTACTTTCAGCCACTAAATCCCTTTGCCTAACCAACAAAAACTTTATTTTCAGGAAAGCCAGTTCCAACATTACTCTGATACAAAACTTGCGAAGCTTTGACCCATCGCCTTCTTCCATTTCGGTACGGGACACTGCGCCTGCCCCAATGCACCAATTTAACCCATGACAGCTGTCTTCCTGGCAGATTCATCGGGACTCTAACTTTGGACAACACAACAGATGAGATGAAACATACCCTACTGGCAGCCTGCACCGCTAACTTCAACCCCCTGGTCGCAGACCTGTAGCCTATCACAACATATATCTAACACAGTTAAATAACTGTAGAGGGCACCTGGCGCGACTGTCTTACCCAACAGGCCAAAGTGAACGTAACCAGCCTCAATCCTTGTAAGGGAAAAAAGTTTTACATGAGGTGAACGTCGCAGTATTTTCTACCATGCAATAAATATGTTTTAGACACTGAAGCTCATAAGCTCATCGTTTAGCTTTCGCATAGGCTACTGAAGGGTGAGTCATCGAATAATTATAGTTGAAGATCAGAACAGAAACATAACGGTGTTGATCAGCCCTTATAATAGGTCTATGAGCTGTGTATGAGGGGGAGGTGACAGAGCAGACAGGGCCTACAGTCAACAACATTAACAGATTCAACATAGTAAGCTACCGAACCTCAACACGCAGCATGTAACAGCCCACGCATCTCCACAAAACACTGCCTATGACAAGTCGTGACAACAAACCAAGTTCATGCTATCGCTCTTTACCTTGTTTGTGTCGTGTCTCGGGTCATTCCAGGTTGTCGTGCGATTATTGTGATCGACAAAGAAGGGCCATCCAGTCTGAGGGTCAATCTTTACCTCCCACCCGAGAGGAAGAGGGTCGTTGTCATTGTTTGTCATTGTCAGCAACGTGGATGGTGTCTTCATGCCGCTCATGTTGCAGGGTGTCGGATCCTGAAGCATTTTATACAGGCGACGGACTCTTTAAAGATTCCTTGAAGTGACGTGCAAAAGGGGGCTGGAAGTTTCTCGAAATAGCGGGGTTAATGTTGGGGGCGGACAGAGCTGGATGCGCTGGCACCAGACTGGCACAGACTAACAAACGTGGGGAACAAGTAGGCTATAACCTAATGCACAGTAGGCTAATATAACTGGTTAAAAATAAAGGAAGCCCCCCTGTTTGAACATTATATAGCCTAGTGAGAAGATTGAGAAAAAACGTGTTGCACATTGTCGCCAGTGGAGCTGGTCTCCTCAGTGTTTGAGTGTGTAAACAGCTAAAACGCTACTTTTTCATTTAAAATTCACACAAACAGGAGATTTGAGGGATATGTCATCTAAACATATCAATACATAGCCAGGCCTATATTATCATTTCGACAGTGTAAGGGGTTTGAACAAATAATGAAGTCTGAAGTGGTTAACTGTAGCTCGTGGTTTGAATCCCAGTGTGCACTAGGATCATCGGTCAAGTGTACCTTCGTTTGCAAAACCCCGTCGTGTACCTATGGTCTATACCTATGGTCTATAATGGAATTTACGGTACAGGTGCTCGGAGTGCCCAAAAAGAACGAATGCGGCCCATAGTTCAGCAACTTGTTACCAAAAAGGAAATATAATATATATATTTTTTTAAATAGTAATAGTCCTGTACTTTTTAGTATGATTTTTTTTAATACTTGTTGGGATAATTAAAGGTGAAGTCTGCTCAAATTGCATTGGAACATTAGTCCTATTCAAACTTTATTTGTAATAATCTGTGATGGGTGACAATATACTTTCAATGGATTCTTATCCCTCATGTCCTTGGCTTTTAGGATGATTTTACTGTATAGTATTTGAGATAATAAAAAGGTAAAATCTGCTTAAATTGCATTGGAACGCTTTGATTATGTAGTCATATTTAAAAATTTATTTTGAAACATCTGTTAACCTTTTAATGTATTCTGATTCCGTATGTCCCTGGGAATTTTAGGATCCTTTTTCATGTATAGTTTTTAAGACGATTAAAGGTAAATTCTGCACAAATTGCATTGTAACACTTTGATAATTTAGTCATATTCAATATTTGATTTTGAAACATATGTGATAACGGACAAGAAACAATGGATTCTTATGAACCCTGGACTGCAAATATTTTCTTTGCACTTCAAAAAGTCTAAAGCAAACGAATTCCATGTTTACCCTTGTGTAAAACAATGTAGGCTAATGGTTTGTCTCATGTTCTGTTTTTTTTTTTAAATAGCCCTACCTATATTGAAACATCTCTCAGATGATAACATTGTAGGGCTGAAGTGGCGATGTGAAGGAGGTCAGACAGATATGGAGGGGCGAGGTTGTGGATGGCCTTGAAGGTGTACAGGAGGAGTTTGAAGATGATTCTTTGCTTCACTGGGAGCCAGTGGAGTTGCTGTAGGATGGGGGTGATGTGACGGTATGAGGGGGTTTTGGTGACAATACGGGCAGCAGTGTTTTGAACCAGTTGGAGCTTATGGAGGGACTTATGAGGAAGGCCGAAGAGGAGAGAATTACAATAATCAATACGGGAGGTGACGAGGCTGTGGACAAGGATGGAGACAGTATGGAATGGTAACAGTATGGTGATGAAGAGAAGGGGCCCCAGGACAGAGCCCTGGGGCACACCTGTAGTGACTGGGGAAGGCTCGAATTTGAAGGATTTGAGCTGTATGAACTGAGTGCGGCCTGATAGATAAGAGTGGAACCAGGTAAGGGGGGTGTGAGTGATGCCAATGGAGGAGAGTCTACTGAGGAGGATGGGGTGTGAGATAGCGTCAAAGGCTGCACTCAGGTCAAGAAGGATGAGGATGGAAAGTAAGCCGGAGTGAGAAGCAATGAGGAGATCGTTGGTGATTTTTAGTAGAGCAGTTTCTGTACTGTGACGGGGGCGGAAACCGGACTGGAGGGGCTGAGGCTATTTTTTTGTTTGCTTTTCTTTTAATAATAAGTCTTTCCACAAGTGGAAGTGTACATACCTGGTATTATTCTATTACTGTATTTATTGTATTTTTTCTGCCTTTATTTAACTGACGTACATATGTTTGATTTTTAACTTCTTGTTATTTTTAAAAATTATATTCCTGTTTCCTGTTTTCTTGAGCTGTTGTAACCTTTATCTTTATCTTTATCCTTTACCATCTCAGGGCTCTCGACCAGCATGATTTGTGTACTGGTTTGTTTGTGTGCTCTTTTTCAGAGTGACGTATCCTGTGCGACTGTGTCAGGTAGTTTCTGTGGTAGAAACTGTTGTTCACGGTTGTTCACCACGTACACTGCTGTCCGTTAACTAGCTTGTTATCATCGTTTATTGCTGTCAGTGTTATCGACCATGGATGACGAAACTCACCCCAAAACCTTGTAAGTATAAGTTATGTGTCTCACAGCAGCGTCAGATAATGTTATCGTTAGCACAGGCTACTAGCTAGGCTAACACAACCCACTGTCTACAAATAACAATACGTTACTGCTCGACAACATTTAGACATATTCAATGACATTAGAACACGATTGAACAATGTCCGATTAGAAAACACATGGTTAAAACAGAATTTCATGCATGAATTTCAAACATGCAAGTAGCCTACTCTACGTGAACGTTATCCGTTACCAGAGTTGGGCCAGCTAGTAGAGAAGTCAGAACATTTGAAGTTAATGTTTAACTGGACGTTTGGTCACTAATAATAAGGGGACGTTAATATCTGTTAGTTTGTCTGTTTTTCCAAATAGGTTTCACTATCCGTATCACATAGTCGTTACCTGGATTAGGCTGTGACTGTGTCTACAAATAAACATGTTTTCATTACAGATATGTGGGAAACCTCTCCAGGGATGTAACAGAAATATTGATACTGCAACTCTTCGCCCAGATAGGGCCCTGCAAAAGCTGCAAAATGATCACAGAGGTAACTTAAATTAGCCAAGACTGTACACATTTTGAAAAAATGCATCTACAGACTGGTTATTTGCAAAGACCATCCTTTGTCTCTTCCAGCATACAAGCAATGACCCCTATTGCTTTGTGGAGTTCTTTGAACACAGAGATGCTGCTGCAGCCCTTGCAGCCATGAATGGAAGGAAGATTTTAGGAAAGGTAGAACAGTTTCTCAGGACTGAAATTTAAGGCAGATTTGTGCATCCAATTGTGCATTTCGTTTGCGGAAAATGTCTGTTTCTGGTGTTTTCATTCATCGTTTTCAATTCTCTCTGTGAACTTTCTGCTTTCAGGGGGTCAAAGTAAACTGGGCCACCACTCCAAGTAGTCAGAAGAAAGACACATCCAGTAAGTGTTAATTTATTGATTTTATAATCTGGGGAAATTAATGTCACATTTAATGGTTTCTTCATTTTGTTCATTGTCCTTTATTTTGTTTTAGATCACTTCCATGTTTTTGTGGGTGATTTGAGCCCTGAGATTACCACTGATGATGTCACGGCTGCATTTGCACCTTTTGGGAAAATCTCGTAAGTTTTCACTTTAAGAACAGCTCCTTTACATATGCTGTGCAATGTTTGGGATGCTACAATAATAGCATAGTGATTTCACTATGGACAATGTGAAGGGTGACAATTCATCTTCTCTCATCTTCTTTAAGCTTGTCTCATCTTCTTTAAGCTTCTTTAAGATGGTAACATCTATGGCCATGTGAACATGCTTACAAAATTGATATGTATCTAATTTGAAAAGCTGATGAATTTTACAATTTGTAGAAAATGAGCAGCTAATAAGCTGTGTCTGATCTAACCCTAGATTTAGAGTTGGGGGGGCAGTCCATGAACTTTTAAGTTTTCAGCTTTACTGAGTGTCAACTCCCTTTCTCCCCACTCTATTTCCTGATGTGTCCCATTCTGATGGTCGTCAAATAAAAGAGAAAAAAAATCTAAAGCTTGCAATTTCAAATGATACCTATACTATTGGGAGAGTGACTGTACTGAAGGATGGTACGGAACTTCTTTTTTTTCGCAATTTGGATGTATATGCATTATTTTTCATTGAGAGAACAAATTATCATGTAGAAATACTGATACCTGAGTAAGTTCTAGGAATGATTGCCTTTACAATAAATATATACTAAAATAAATATATACTTTCTTCCAGTATATATACTGGGAGAAAGATTAAGAAAAAGGCACCAGTGTAAGATTTAACATGTCAGTAGGGATGGTTAATGTTCAGCATCTTAGGCTTTTTTTTTTTTTTGCTTCATTTTGATGTATTCTTTGTTGTAGATACCATGTGTGATTTTAAACTCAACTGATGATAGACCATTAGAACTTTATGTAAAGCATGAATATAAATATCAGACTGGATCGAACCTCTTACCATCCTATCTGTGGCTTTGTTGTTAAAATAACTCAGATTAGCCTAATATAAGTAGAATATCAAGACCGTTATTATTTCATGTTCTTTAGCCCTTTATTTAAAAGTGTGGTAAGTAAAGTGTGTGTCACCTATGTGTATGTACCTGAACAGCTTATAGTTGTTGGTCTCAGTGAAATAATAGCACTTTGGTTATTTTACAGAAATGCTCATAGGATTGGACAGGAGCTTGAAGGCTTACAGCAAGGAACTGTGCACTCTGGAGACTCAGATGTAGTTTTTTTTTCTCTATTTATTCCATTCTTTCTATATGTTTGTATTTGTAGATGTGTTAATATGATCTAGCTTAGATGAACAAAATCCAATACTCAATGTAATCCCCTGAGCCAATCTTTTAATTGTCTCATTTTAATTTGCATAGTGTTGTTTGTAGTGTAATGATCCTCTTCCAAAATTTCTTAAAATGTAAATTTCTCAAAATTTGCAGCTACCCAAACTCCGAACTACATATTGGTGGTAAAGAATTGACCAGGGAAAAAGAAATCTGTTAACAGGCCATGTATGCCTTTTAATTCCCCTTTTTCTCTTTTCATATATTCTATATCTTCATATTTGTAGGCAGAGCACAAACTGCAGATTTTAAGCATGTGCGGTAATCCATTTAATCTGTTCATCTGTGCATTTGAATAAGTAGCCTACTGTTCAGAAGACTGAACATAAAGTGGTGCTCTTGTGAAAAGGATCCTTTTATACTCTAAAATCATTGAAAACCAACACTGTAGGCTGCATGCTTTTGTACTTTGTTTGTTTGTTTTAAAGTTTTTATATATTTGAAGCTACATTTCCAGTCCTTACTAAGTACAAGTTCATCATAGCTAATATAATGTAGAATCAAGCACAGGATTCACTTTATAGTGTCTTTTTATTGATTCCTTTAGTTTGATGTATTTCAACTGAAAAGTACAGTGATGTTGCTTCCACATTTCCTTTCAGTGATTCTCGTGTTGTGAAAGACCTGACCACAGGAAAATCAAAGGGGTATGGATTTGTGTCCTTCCACAACAAACTGGTAAGGCTCCAGTGCAAGACCACAGACTGAAGGTTATTTCTATTTCCTGTTTCCTGTTTACTGACTGATTAATCACAGATGAAACTATAACTTAAAAGTACTTCAAATGTAAAATAACAAAACAGGTTTAATGTTGCTTACATTAAAATATGCAATGTATATTTGGAGTACTTATAATTAAATCTACAAATTCACTAAGCAGAATTGACCGTCTTTGATTTTGATTGACAGGATGCAGAGAATGCTATCATTAACATGGGGGGACAGTGGCTTGGAGGACGCCAAATCAGGACCAACTGGGCAACACGTAAACCACCAGCTCCTAAGAGTGCCCATGACGGTGAGTTTTAAAGGCTTTGCACAACCACAATACAACCACAAAGGGGAATTCACTTATTTGGGTTAATTAGAGCTTTCCATATGGTGGTGCAACTCTGAGCATCATTCATTTCACACAGGAACATGGAAAGAAACATTCCCCTTTGTTGATTGCCACCACTATGCTTGAGACTTAATTCTGAGTGAACATTGACATCTAAGAGAGAAGTTTGGATTAACCCTTTGTTTGGGAAGGGACTGCACAGAAAAGAAGCCTTTTTGCTGGCGCCGTAGGTACTGTAGTGTAAATGGTGTAGCCAACAGGATTGAATTCCACCAGGTGTGAAGATAAATCTTAAACTGTTAGTTTAAACTGTACATTGTGTCTCATTTGCTCCTACAACAACGAGAACTCAATGTAAAATCAAACACAAGTGATGTGATAGACCTTTTAAGTGTAAAAGCACAAAGGCAGCATAACACGGTAGCTTTGTTATGGCACTGTTGTGGAATCCTTGTATAAAAAAAGGATTATGTACAACTGCAGGGACTATTGGCTTCCCCGAGCACACAAGCTGCTCCAATGGAAAAAAAGTGTTTTCTGATCACTAAAACGTTTCAGCGTGACATTAATTGTAAATACAGTAGCCTTTTATCACCAACTCCCATCAGACTGTAAAACATTTCATTATTAGTGAACAATTCATTCTAATCTGATAAACAATGTAATGTTCAAGGTGTTGGATCATAAAGAGGTTCGCTGGTTTAGCTGAGTTTGTAATGAACCTTATTAAGTTTGAACTACGATGTGGGGTGACACACACAAGCACACACATCTTAATGACATGAAAAGGCAACTGCTCAGAAACCAATCTCTGATGTGGACAGACTGCTAATACCAATAAGTGTCAGGTATCGACCAGCAGGTGGAGATGTAAGTGTTCATTCTCCACTATAAGTTCTATTTTTAGTTGCTGCCACAAACCCTAAGTTTCTCTCTCTCTCTCTCTCTCTCTCTCTCTCTCTCTCTCTCTCTCTCTCTCTCTCTCTCCTCTCCCTCTCCCTCTCTTCACTGTACTCTATGTTATGAATTTGACCCCAGGGCAGGTAGAATAACCCCTGTGTTAAAGTTGCTATAACCTTGAACTGCAATATTAAAAATGTGAGTAATCGCTAAGACATTTAAATTCAATACAAATGCTCTTCTTTCCTTCTGTACTGTGGTCATTTTAATTATTTTCATGGGCCAACATGCAGTTTGCATGTTTTGTGTTTGAAAGCTGTAACCTGCAGTCTTAAAAAATTATCATAAGTGAATGCCAAAAACAAATTTACATTTGAAGTTGATCTTTTTCATTTGATGTAAGGATAGCATAGTAATTTATGCATGACCTGTTTTTACTTAAACCATCTGCTTAATGTAATTTGACATTTTTATGGTTTAAAATGCTGTTAATGCAGAACCTTATTTTGATTTAAAATAAATAAATAATACAGCAGCCTTGTGCTGAGTAATAGTGATGTTGGAAAAATAGTCCGGCCCACTGCAGGTCTCAATTGAACAAATCTGGCCCCCGAACCAGTATGAGTGACACCCCACACATACTAACTAGCAGGTAAAATATCCCCTGTCGGCTGGAGGGGGAGACAAATTAAAGGGGCATGTTGCCATGGTGATTTCAAACGCTGTCTGTCAATTTTTGAAGGTAAAATCAGGAGAAAAAAATATGTCCCAGAGTAGGGCATTCGTCTCGTGGCTCTGTTCATATTGTGAGATGGTGTGCAGTCATACGACCAAAATATCAAACATGTCAGAAATTCATCCAACCGGTTGGGTGTAGCTGATTGCACTGTAGATATCTGTTGTGTTTCATTGTACACTGCAAGATAGGCGCCAGGCAATCAGGCCGAAATTCGTTTCGACTTCAAAATGAGTCTGCAACTCAAAATAGGGCCATACAGTGTAGGCTGGGCTTTATCTGTCACATTTCAAAGGCTTCATTGCAAAGTGCATGGCATCGGTATGATTTAATATATAATAGCCCTCCCCTTGGTGGAACACCGACACTAAAAGCACAAGACACATACTTTATATTCACAAATGACACCAGAAAATTTTGATTTTTTTTGTTTAGTAACATTCCCTTACAACATGTTTGATTTTTTCTTACAGATGGCCCAAAGCAGCTGAGGTTTGATGACATTGTAAATCAGTCTTGTCCACAGAACTGTACTGTTTACTGTGGAGGCATCCAGTCAGGACTATCAGGCATGTGTCATCTTTGCAATCATAGTTTTATTATTTACCATACACTTTTCTAAAACAGTTGAAGATTTTACCACTTTAACTTGTTTTCTTCTGGATTCTTTCAGAACACCTAATGCGACAGACCTTCTCACTGTTTGGTCAAATAATGGAAATAAGAGTTTTCCCAGAGAAAGGATACTCCTTCATTAGGTAGTGCCATTGCAGTATTGGGCCTTTAGATGTCACTTTGCATGATTTAGTGACAGGACTGTTAAAACTTGATTTAGTGTTTATTGTCTTTTCGGTTCTGTTTGTCTTCACCATACTGCTTTATTAGGGTCATTAAGCTCATAGTTTTAATACTGTGTATTTCATGTTTTCCTTGATAGAGATCAGGCTTCATATCTTTAATTGCTTTTGTTTCCTTTAAAGATTTTCCACCCATGACAGTGCTGCACATGCCATTGTTTCAGTCAATGGCACAACCATTGAAGGTCACATAGTGAAGTGCTTCTGGGGAAAAGAATCTCCAGACATGGCAAAAACTCCACAGCAGGTAAGAAAATGGACCGGATTATTAAAAAGTTCTTGAGTATTTTTATATTTAAATTGAAGAGGACTGTAGAAAGACGGCACACATACGAAAGTTGTCGACATCTTTAACCCTGTTGACATTGGGTCATTCCAATAAAACTTGTGATTTTGATGGTTATGCTGATCATAAATTATTGTCTATATATGAAACTGTTATAGAAATATTATTATAAACAATTTGACTATTAGACTAAAATTTCCCTTTGAAACATTTTTCTTTGAAGGTTTTGAAACGTTTTCCTGTTGGAGATAAGTGGGAAGTAAGGACAATGGTAACCTTTCTCCTCTTTGTTCCATTTAGGTTGAGTACAGTCAATGGGGACAGTGGAACCATCCCTATGGAAATCCACAGCAGCAGTTTGGACAATATCTGACCAATGGGTGGCAAGTTCCCTCCTACAGTATGTACAGCCAGACATGGAACCAGCAAGGATTTGGAGTAGAGTGAGTTTGATACAATAGTATGTACTCAGTGAATTCCTAAACATTATACTATATAAATACATTGTAATGGGCTATAAGACTAACTACATTATTATTAAATGCCTCTAAATTGTGATCAATGGTTATTTTCTTAAACTTTTCCTTAGAAAAGTAGACTTTTTTTCATCAGATTTTTTTTTGACACATTGACCACAGTCATGCTTAGAAGGTGTTTTGGGGTCTTCACAGGCAGTCGGAGTCATCAGCCTGGATGGGAGGCTTTGGATCACAATCAGCCCAGACTGAAGACCCGGCCAGTTCTGTCATGACAAACCTGACCAACTTCAGCATGGCTGGCTACCAAATGCAGTAAGCCTGTCCTTGCCTAAGTGGAATGCCAAAGGAATTTCCAAAAAAACAATTTAGACCACGCAACTCTCTTTCAACTTGAAAGCTGATTTGGTTAAGGAAGGGCAAAAGGAATGTTCACAAAGCCTTTTTACTTAATGTTCTCCTCAACAACCAGTTTAACAAGTCTTTTTTCACATGTCTTCACTTTAAACTGTTTTGGATGACAATGAATTGTTAATCATTGAACATTCACTTGGGCCTCTGAAGTAAAGTCAAAGCAACCAACTTTGTAGATGCTGAAGGAAATGGCAGAAATTTTTAATGCTTAGTCCATGAAAACCATACCCAGACTGACATTTGTAGCTTTACCATACTTACTGTAGAGCGATCTAAACGGAGAGGAACCCCTGATGTCTTTCTCCTTATCACAATGACTAAAATTAAGGTAATGTTTACATTACAGTTGGTCTCAAATAGTATTTGTAAATTAACTCAGAGGAGCTGTAAGCACACTAAAAATAAGCAACCACCTTGCTCCAGCGGCTGTAAATGAAGCTGGATTAAAATCCCTTAAAGAACCTTGACTTTGAGATATTTAAACATTATATTTATAGCAATGTCTGGTTTGAGTTTCCAGTGTTCTTTGACATCTTTAAGTAAACAAAATGCCATATTTTACCAGAGAAATCAGTACACTGCTTACGTGACATGCATTGATAAGTCCTTTTTTCATGGTTTTAACAGTATCAGTATACAGTGGTGACAGTGATGTATAGATCAAGTATTAACAGTCACTGTGAATATGTGTTACAGACTGCTGTGAGCCACAAGAATGAACCAACCTACTAAAAGTTGGTCTTGGCTTAGCTTCATCTTAAAATCTAGTCCTAAATTGATATAGAATAAAGGCCTCTAAATGGTAGTTTAACCTGTAGAAACTATTTGTATGAATAACTATGGATTTAAATGAGACTTAAACAGGACTGCATATGTCTCTGGTACATTTTATGTAGCCTACAGTAACAATTATCTACACGCTTTAAAGCAAAAAAAGAGAGAGAGAGAATTTGGTTCTACATTCTAGTTAGTGACCGGGATGTTCTCTCCAGAGTTGTGATGGATTTTAAACTACACCCAAGTTTTGCGTAGAATAGATTTATTTATAGATTTATTATTTATAAAAGCTTGTTTGTTAAACAGTGATTGACTTTGAACTTATTTACAACTTACTTATGTTGAATGTCAATGTAACTTTTAAATATATGCATTGATACAAGTCAATATAGTTGAGGTAAGACATTTTATGTTGAAAATATCCATTTTTTCAATTGAGTGGGACTTATAACCTATTATATATTATTGACAGTGCAGGTTAACTATTTTTTGTTTCTTTTCCATCAATCTTTAATCGTATAGCGACAATTCATAACAAGTGTTATCTTGAGACACTTTACAAAAAGCAGGTAAAAGACCTTACTTATTGTTATGTTACAAAAAGCAGGTAAAATACCTTACTTATTGCTATGTTACAAAAAGCAGGTAAAAGACCTTACTTATTGCTATGTTACAAAAAGCAGGTAAAAGACCTTACTTATTGCTATGTTACAAAAAGCAGGTAAAAGACCTTACTCATTGTTATGTTACAAAAGAGCAGGAAAAAGACCTTACTCATTCTTATGTTACAAAAAGCAGGTAAAACATCTTACTTATTGCTATATTCCAAAGACCCATGGTTAGTCCATCATGACCATAGCACTTAGCAACATTTAGCAAAACTTACAGTGGCAAGAAAAAAACGTCCTTTTAAGAGGCAGAAAAGGGGGGCAGGCCATCCACCAACTAATGTCTTTGAAATTATTTTTCTATAGACCTTACACTCAGTGTAAGTAAAACATAATGCTGTGCCCTTTTTCCGTTTTGTGTAAAGAGAAGTTTTCAAAGGTTTTAGGCATACTACAAATTGATGGGCACCTTTTCTGCCCTTTAATTCTCTTGAGTATTTTCTGAATAGTTTTATATATTCAAGGTAAGCTGTTGAAAAAATACTTGGAAAGTAAAAGTAATATTTTCCCCATTTACATTTTATTTGATAATGTGCCATTCTGTACAATGTATTGTACCTCCTTTAAAGTCACTCCTTTTTCCTGCTGTACTAGCCATTAATCTTGATTTATTACAAAAAAAAAAAAAAAAAAAGGTGGTGTTATGTAACAAATCATGTCGGCTCAGAGCATGAATAGAAACATTACTTATAATTGGGAGAATGTTCTGAAATATTATGTCTTCAGTTGGGGGATTTTATAATTATCCATCACACTTTTTTCTTCTTTTTTTCCCACTCTGAGTTTCTGCCTGTTTTTAAGTGTTTGTGCCATTTTCGGGAATAAGCAGAAAGCTTGAACCAACATGTTCTTTATGTTGCATAACATAATGTGCATGTTGACCAACAAGAGTGATATAATATAACCGGAAGGAATGAATTTCCTGTGTAAGGGGAAGATCGCAGTAAGTTACACAATTAAAACAACATTTAAATCTAGGTGGTGCGTGCATTTATTGGACACTGATACAATACTTGGACACAAGTTGTTCATTATACATAAGCATACATACTGTAAAATTCTAACAGACCTAGTAATGCTTTTTACAGTTATTAAAATGAGGTTGTTGATACAATATGCAATTTTCAATTTAAACATGAATGTATTTCTATAGGTTTGCTCAAAATTAACCTTGTTTTAATTGATTTGCAAGTATAAACTTTGAATTAAAATGACCCAATAAATAAAACATTGCAGTAATACCTCCGGTTTTGTTTTGTTTGTTTTTGAGTTCAGTTTTGAATAAAAACTTCTGGACACTGTCATACATTGCTATGTAACAGCATGCAGTTTAGGCAGCTGAAGAGATGGACAAAGTTATTGTTGTCAAATTATTATGAAAGCATCAAATCACCAATTATGCAAACGATTTATGCCCTTAATGTGCAAATGAGCTGGGAGCTTTCAGCTCACTTGCTTCTAATCACTTCTAAACATCAACCACCTTCGCAAACATTCAGGTATTAGGTACTATATATATTTCCTTATAGTCTCTTATAGTGAATTTCTCTCATATTGCACAACTTTTTTCTAATCTAAAGTTACATTTATATTACACAACACAAAGTGTTTATTGTATGTATCTGAGAGAATACTATAACAAGTTTACGTACAGTTTTTCTAAGCTAAGACTTGATACAGTTTGCAAAGTGTCTTGAAATGATGAGCTGTTACTCAAGATGGACAGGGTTGAATATCTGCCAGTAGTCAATTGTTTATCTAACTGAAAACATTTCTGAAACATTAAATATTGTTGCTTTGTGACTTGTTCATCCTCCTGTTTCCATGTCTCAGGTTAGTCACATATGACAGTTGTATATGGTGTTGCTGCAAACTCTCCTTGATGTGACTATCCAAACAGATAAGGACGTTTCGATCTAAGGTAACTTCCTCCCCCTGGATAGGGTAGATCAAAAATAACAATTAACATTTGGAATTCAAAGGAATTTATCCAAGAACATTTCTATTTTGATTTGCTGAAATCTTCTGTGCAAGATAAACGTTTTCTTCATATTGTACAACAGCCATTTCAACAACCCAGTTTTTACATGGCATCACTTCTTAGTGTACTCAATGAGCCTATAATGCTTAATATTTGTATGAAGCAGCTTTCTAGCCTTAAATGAATAAAGCACTTGATACTCACAACAAGACTTTGCACACATTATTAGTAACAAGAAGTTCCCCTGCTGTTCCGTTTCCATCAGCTTTCTCCTGTAATCCCAGTTTCTCCATAATCAACTCCACTCTGGATGTGATCCCTGCCATGGTGCTCTCAAGGTGGAGAACCTGTTGGACCAGTCTACCATGGTGAAAGAAGAGTTATTCAGCGTTAGCATTTATTATAATAACATTTCTTTCTTTTGTTTTGAACATTTTCAAGACATTTCATAAATATATATTTTTCAAACCCCACAAACGTCTCCTTGTTCACAAAGTTATGAACCAATGGGGTTTTCTGCTCATTGGCTGTAACAGAAGGCTTGTCAAGTAATTCTTCCCTGTAATTAATTCCAAGATTATTGAGTTCAGCGCAAAGAGCATCCTGAAAACAAATTTGAAAAAACATCATAACTTTGTCAGCATTTATCTTCAGAATAAAAATAAGTAAAAAAAATGTTACAAGAATGACATGAAAACAAGTTGAATTTCTACAGTATTATGATGTAGACTTTGACACAAACCCTCTTTTCCTCCAGCTCGATTTTCATTCTCTCCTGTTCAACCTCATCCAGAATTTGGTTGCTATCATGGTCAAACCGCGAGAAGGCTGCTGAAATTTCATGATCAGCATGTCCCATCCTGCAAAATTATCTGAATGGTTAAGATTCTGTTATTATATTCTTTGCTATTTGATATATTTTACTTACTCTTTAAGAGTCTCTCTAAAGTCCTCAAATTCAATTTCTCCAGATCCAGATTGTAGTGCTTTCTGAACATCTGATATTTTCTCCTTTTTAATTTTCAACTTTGAAAATGTCTTCATGTAACGCTGAATTACAAGAGAAAATTATTTATACCCATTTGAACTGTTAAGCGTTCATAATGTTATCTTTTATAATTACATTAATCACATAATTAATGTATTACATTAATCAATGCTTTTACCTGCTTGATGATGTCAGTAATTTGTAGCTCATCTTTTTGGGATGAAAGCTCCTCCTTAACCTCAGAATAAGTGTCATTTATAATGGCCAGGAACATGTTCTGAAATATAGAAACAAAGCATTTCAAATAAAAACAAAGAAAAAAATGGGGAAAATAATTCAAAGACAAACTTGAATGAAGACTTATTCTGAAATATATAGAAAGACAGACTTCTTTAGGAACTCTAGATTACCTACAGGAATTACTTGGGCATTTATCTAAACAGAGAGTGGCAGGCTTCACCAAAGGTTACAGTTATTGACACACGTATCTGCTGAAAAATGTTTTCAGCAGATTGAGGGGACTGCCCACAGCGAGCGCTCCAGAGCAGTTTTGGGGTTCGGTGGGACTTTACACTTATGGGATTTTATAACACTTCTCTATTTTTCTGACTACTGAGAGTGCTTTGACCCAACATGTCACATTCACCCTTTCATAGCACATTCACACACTGATGGCAGATGCTGCTACATAAAGAGCCCAACTGCACTAATTCATTCACCCCACACTGGTGTAGCAGCAGGAGCAATTTAGGGTTCAGGGACGCTTCAACATGTGAATCCAGGAGCTAATTTGAAACATAAGCCGTTTTCACATATGCACTCTGGATAATATCTAGATATTTACAGGAGGACTTCTTCTGAGATTCTCCCGACCTAGTCGTTCACATATGCTCCTCACAGCGGGGGCCTGGGGGGGTGTTTTCCCGACGTAAGACGTGACGTAAATAAACGTGGAAGTAGCGGCCGAAGCAACAGAGTCCGCTACACAACGGTATAATGAGAATATTTGCCTTTATATCAATGCTATGTGTAATCCAATGGAATGACAACATCCACAAAAGAGAGGAGAACAACATACTGACGAACAGAAAACATAATGCAGCTGTTTAATTACGTGCACGGAGATCGTAGTGGTCGTGTGCAGACACTTTAGCCGGTCACTGTTTATAAACGTCATTCTCTTTCCATTGGCTCGAATTGAAATCTCCGGAGTATATGCGGAGACATCAGCTCACTCGGATATTCTGCAGATAAAATACTAGGGGTCTGGCGACCAACTCTATCACTGAGCCTCAGCTATTGATTTATAAATCATTGATTCATAAATTAATAAATCAATAGCTGAGTACTGACCCATAATAATACATTTAAAAATAATGGTAAATGGACTTGTATAGCGCTTTTCTAGTCTTCTGACTGCTAAGTGCTTTTACATCACATGTCACACCCACCCATTCATACCCATTCACACACTGATGGCAGAGGTTGATATGTAAAGAAGGTGTAAAGTGACCATCGGAAGTAACTAATCACTAATCAATATGTCACCAAACATTGTGAGTAATTTGGGGTTAAGTATCTTGCCCAAGGACACATGGGACATGTTGCAGCAGGAGCTGGGAATTGAGAGACGAACATTTCTACCAACTGAGCCACAGTGGAAAAGGAACTGTCTGCAAAGCTGCTTGAACACTTACTTATTAACGTAATAAGTAAGTAATGACCACACTCATCTTTTTAAATATATCATCTTGTTTAGAGGAATGACTTACCAGTAGAACAAAGAAAACAAAAAATACATAGGTGACAAAGTAGATTGGTCCAAGGACTCTGTTAGCACGGTCGATAGCATCATAATCAAAGTCTCCAAGAATTATCCTGAACTGTGTAAAGCTGCACAAAAAAAAGTATGAATTAATTTCA